TTTCTACACTACATATCCTTCCCTCTTTGAAAATGGAGGCCAGCACATACTCCTAGAGAATGGCAGTGGTTCACCATAACTAGACTAGGTTGAACTAAATTACATCTTTGTATCCTCAAAGTTCTTAATGGTCCATGCCTTCTCAGAGCTCTAAAGTTATTTTTATCTCTAAATTAAAAAAATTATTTGCTCCAACTCTTACTGTCTTATGCCACAAGCAGCTGCTTCAACAACCTGGTTAGAAGAAATTCTCGTACATAGAATGCAGTTTCTTCTTACAAGGCCATGAACTTTTAACAAAATATTAATTAATTTTGAAATATATTAGCATACCACCTCTGGAACTAATGAAGAAGTCTATGAAGACTGTAATTTTAAGAGTTTATTTAGTTCTTTCTGGCAAGTATAAAAAGACACTGTGGAGCATGCCCTAATTTAAGTACACAAACTACTTTTTTCAAGATTTTGAGAAACATCCTCTGTGGCTTTTGAACATAAAGCATTAGTAATACAGATCTAAGGATGCATCCTTCACTCCCCTGGATGATTCAGAAATACTTACCTCTTGCACTCAATTTCTTTCCCAACCCTCAACTCAATTTGACAAACAGCAAGTCTTTTTTTCAGCTGCAAAGATGTAATACATTTGCTGCTCCTTTTGTAAAACTAATGCCTTAAAGAAGGCATTACAAATGCTTCACAATTCCAGCTGAGATTCCAAAGTCACAAGTGAGCAGGCTATATAGTTTTCTGTGTTTTCATTCAATCTCTTGTCTCCAACCACTTGCCTGATATACTCATCTTAAAATTTTGTATATTTTTGGACCTTATTAATCAAAGACTTTTCCTTCTTCTGGGCAAGTCTGAAGATGACTCTAGTTCATCACTTCTAGTCTTCCATTTACAATTTGCTTAAGAACATTTTCTGCCTTTCTAATTCTCTCACTGCATCTTAGATCACACTTACCATGAACTTCAGCTTAATTCCCTGAACCACAGGTACAACCCTCAGGAAGGAGCTCTTAACTTTTTAATCCCTGTGTTTCCTGGAAATACTACTTTCAGCTGGCTTATTTTTTTTTTGTGGAGCTTTGCCCCTGTTGTGCTTACACACACCAAGGAAAGTATTACTCCCACGCAAAACCCACATCTGATCCACTGTCCTAGTTAGATACCACCAACATACTGCAATGTGAAAAAGCACAAGGCCAAAAGATCAACCATGTTGCTCTTGAAGCAATTCTTGTTGCCTTGGACTACCTGAATAATCAACCTGGAAACAAAGCACACATCTTTGTCCACCTTTATTGGTATGAGCTACCTAGAAGGGTGGACACTGCAAATGCCAAACTGTAGAGTCCCAAGTTTTATGTCTGTAAAACAAAACAGAAAACAAAATCACCCCCCTTCTTCCTTTGCAATTCATGGATGCAATATAGTCCAAGGGAATGGTTTTTAACAGACTTGCTTCAGTTAACTGACAAAACAGACTATCCATTGCTGCTGCTGTGTAATTACTAATTAGACTTTAGATGTAAAGTCTAAAAATGGCCATAATGTGGCCCAAGCTCCTGCATAATAACTACCAAAATGCTGCTCCCAGTAACCACTGAATACAAAGCTGACTTGAAGACTTCAGGAGACCTAACCACAACCCCCATTAAACCATGGCAAGTATTGAAACTTCCCCCTTTGAACTGCGTGTCTGGGTTCTACCCTATTTAATCATTATTCTAATATGGTCTGTTCCTGGCTAATGAAACTTAAGACTTTTTTCCTGCTATGCTTACACACAAATATGTATTGCTCTGTATTTGTTGTCAGTTAAGTGGCTGCTTAAGATTCTTCTCACTAAACATAAATCTCACCTGAAAAAAAAATGAAAACAGCATTTTTCTCAAGTATGAAATTACTTGAAAAGAAGAAACTATGAAAAACACTCAGCAAAATTCTGTAATGTGTCTTACAGGCTGAGATACTTGGGTCTGCTAAGCCTGAAGAAGAGAAGGCTGAGAGGGGATGTTATTAATGTTTATAAATATCTACAGAGTAGGTGTCAGGATGGGGCCAGACTATTCTCTGTGGCGCCAAGTGACAGGACAAGAGACAATGGACACAAAATGGAACACAGAAAATTTCATCTGAACATGAGGAAAAACAACTCTGAGGGTGAAAGAGCACTGGAACAGGCTTCCCAGAGAGGTTGTGCGGTCTCCGCCCCTGGATACACTCAAAATCTGCCTGGATGCAATTCTGTGCCACCTGCTCTAGGTGAACCTGCTTCAGCAACAAGGTTGAATCACATGATCTCCAGAGGTCCCTTCCAACCCCTAACACTCTATGAGTCTGTCTTTACTAAAAGGCAGTATGGGAATACTCTCTTCAATGTGACCTAACAATGGATTTTAGAGGAAAATAAAGAATCTCTTATTACTTTATAGCCAACTGTCAAAAAAACTATGAAAAAGAGCCCCCTAAAGAGAGGACAAAATAAAGTCAGCAAAATAAATTCAGTAACATGCCTTATTCAAGAAAAAAACCAGAGCTTTACTCCTCAGATACTTTTAGATTTCTATGAGTTTATAACCTCTTAATAAGAAACTTTCCCTTCCTAGTTAAAAGAAGGATATGAAACCAGGCATTAAGAATTAGTGTCTAACCACAGTGTTCATCAGCTTTTACAGATCTGAAATTTAGGATATAACTCATCTAGTTTCTGCAGGCATCAAATATTTAGGAGACAAAAAAAATACCCTTTTGTTCCTCAGTTGTATTTCTGTATTTGCTCTCAAGCTGCTAAAAAATACATACTTAATGGACCTCAATACCTACTTAAAAGAACCCTTCAAGTTTTACAACTAAGACATCTCAATTGAGGGGAAATAACCAAAACAAAATTAATTGCTTACAGCAATGTAACCCTAAGAAGTTCTGATAAATCTAAATTATTTTTTCTTTCTACAGTTTTCAAGGTTGTCTGCATTCCAAAAGCAGCCTGACAGGAAACCAACACAAGCTCTGAGATGCCCTCCCAGAAAAAATAGGCACCTGCTGCTGTGCCTTTCAAACTATGCTTTAGATTTCCATCCCTCTCCAAATTAGAGCTGTCTTAGTTAGGATAAACCTTAATTCTTCACTCAGGACTTCAAATATAAAGAAACAACTTGTTTTTCCCATTTTGGAGACTCACACAAGATAGGACCAATAGTATTTTACTACTGATACAATCTCATCCACAGCAGTCAAGTCACAACTTTTCAGACAACTGAGAACAAGTGAGTCATGCTTTCTCAGGCACCACCTGACCCATTTTTTTTGTTTGGTTTTTTTTCTAAAGATTATTAGACCTTCCTTTTGGTCTCACTTTCCACGTAAATACCTCTCTTAAGTAGGGTGCTGTGTTCTACACCTTACTGTTTCAAACAATCGAGGATCCCTCCTCTGGTTCACAACCTCTAAAACTCTGTCCTCAGAATCTAGACAAAATGAGTTTTGCCCGAGTTTTCTTTTATTACAGGCACAATACTAGAATTCTGACATTAGACAGATCCCTAGAGATTTCAGAACTTGAGGAGACAAGCTCTAGTGTGTTCAGCTAGAGCTAGAGTATGTAGAAATTAAGCATATGAAATTGCTTAAAAAGGTAAAACCCTCTAACAGGTTACTTACACTTGACTTGATGCAGAGATTTCTTCCAGCTAAGTACTAGATTCTCCTTCAGCTGTAATACTGTCAAGAACTAGATTGTGCCATCTAATCTTTGGGCACAAAGGAGTTGCAACAAGGTTCTTCACAATCCACTGCTTTCTTCCCTATGATTGAAGAGAATAAAATTCTGCAGTATATGACAGATATAAAAACAGCACTGGCAGCTAACAGGCTACAACAGAACCAAATGAGGCAAGTGTAGATCAGCATATTGCATCTGCAAAAGAGCTCCAAAAAGATGCTAGCCAGTGAAACTGGAAATAATATGCTGATTTTTTTTACAGAGGAATATGCAATCTCATACAAAGGAAATGATAGTAAAAAAATATTTATAGCACTCTTTACCAAGTTATTAATGCAGCAGTACTATTTCTGTTGACACAGGGAAAGCGAGAGTAGTCAACTTGTGAGGCTAGAATTTTATTGTTCCAGAAGTCAATACATAAACATAGCATATTTACCAGAAATTGGAAATCTGAGTTGTAGACATTAGCTCAAAACTTTCTTGTGCCCAAAAACTCACCTCTTCTTCCAACATACAGCAATAGACTTTGATAAGTTCAAATTTCTTAATGTTATATCAATTTTACTGATAGGGTACATTTCTTTTAGACCAAACGCAACATACCTATTTGGAGAAAAGTTATAAAGAGACCCAAGCATACCACAGTATGATAGATTTATGATACCTGGGCTATTCTCAATACCCTCTTTCTGTGCAAACTGTACAGGCTTGTAAGGAGCTCTTCTGAAGGACTGGGCTTCATCTGCAACACTGAAATTTAGTCACTGGAAAAACGACACACCACTATTGCTATTCAATGGTTTGATGGATCTAGTATGGAAACAACCTAGCTATTACAGTCTACCAACATTAAAGCAGAGTTCTCGTGTGCACTCCAGAAATGGACTGAAGTTCATATGGGACAAATACCACATAGTTTCCTTATCTTTTCTCATTTATACATTTTGGTCACCTTACCTGTCAAATCCAATGCATTTCTGACAATTGCTTACAACTTTCTGAAATTTCTGACCATGTAGAAGTCATTACTGCATTTAGTGCCATATCCAGTTTGTTCAGCTCTTCTTCATGTGCCATTAAGTGATTATTTATGCAATTTGAACTGAAATTGCATCACAGCAGCATTTAATGAAGTACCTTGTATCCCTGTTTGCATATGGGATACCAGTTTAGAAATTACTTCCTATACTATGCAGTAACAGTAAAAAACAAACAAACAAAGAGTTGAACTGCTGTCAAACCCCTTAAAAGCAGATAGACTATTTTATTCAGATATTAAAAATAATTTACTCTTCCCAAGTAATGTACAATTAGAAGCAGTTCACACTACTTCAAACACAGAGCTGGAAAGTGTTTGAAGAAAACTATTAAGTCTGAATCACATTGCACTGAAACAATATACTGAAATTATTTAAACTTCTGACTTGCAGCATACTGCTTGTAACCATGAATTTTTATTTAATATGTGCACTAGGTAGGCTGTCAGACAGCTGCAAAGAAGAGTCTCGGTTTACTTTCTCCTGCCACCTCCACCACCTGCAAGCATGGTGGCCACCCGAATGAAGATGTTCAGTGTATCTGTATAGATACCCATGCACCTAGGAAACAGGAAATCAAAGTTAATATTAACAGAAATAGCATTACTTAGTGTTTCCTACCATCACATGTAATTTTCAAAAGCCTTTATGAAGCATCTGATTATCTCAGTGCTTGATGTCACAAAACCCTCTATTTTTGTTCTACCACCTCTGTCAGGAGGAAATATTTACAGAAGTCTTAGCAGACAGTAGTATATTGTTCTCATACAGCAGCCCTCTGCTTTTATGCTGTACTTTAATCTGTATGTCTCCAAGAATTCTGAAGGTCAGTATTATTCTAACTGTAAGAAACCAGAATCAAGGAGGTAAACAAGTCACTGAAGATCAGACATACATTTATAAGCAAGTTACCTGTTGGTCTGACTTGGTCTTTATTGAGAATTAATTAATCTTCCTTTCCCTATCACACTGTTGAAGCTTTCTCCTTTAGTAACAAAGACTAGTGAATATTGAGTGACTATGAAAGAGTTAACATTCCTGTCTCGTTTGATTTTGTCAGATATTTGCAGAAAGCAGCAGTAAGCTGTCCCAGCGATGCTTTAGAAAATAAAAATATACTTTAGAAAGTACTGCTGGAAGCACATGACATCAGACACTCAATTTTATTTCTCTCATTTCTAGGAGACAGTTTTAACTGCACTAGTTATTTATACATTGTATACTAGTTATTTATACATTGTAAACCCTGAGAACCATCATATTGAACAGCAATACACTTTTGAGCAGTAAACAAAAGGCCTGGCTGTTTTTAACACAGGCTTCTGATACACCTCGAAGCAACTTCTTAGCCACAGAAATCAGCTGTGTTCACACAGATGCTTACGCGTTGATGGGATCATATTTGGTCACTCCATAATAGGGCAGAGTTTCCGCACGCTTGATAACGTGCTGCGTATCGTAGAGCAGGAACATGCCAAAGAGCACCAATCCACCATAGACAGCTACTGAATACAAGCCAGCACCAAAAGCAGAAGTAGGAGGCAAGAACATGGATCCTGGAGAGGAATGTACAATAGTGTTAGAAAAAGCTACTATGTGCATCTGCTACTCTGAGCTGGGTCAAACTTCAGTGAGATTGCAATTCTCAATTTGAGGTGCATTTTTGATACCAAGAGCTTTAGTACATGAGCTCAATACGTTACATGTACAACCTGATCCAGTAATTTTGAACACCTGAAGGAATCAGGTGTACTTTTCTTCATGTTAAAATACTTCTATTGCAACAATGCCTAGAAATGTCTAAGGAAGAAGAAGTGGAACTGCATTTTAGCAGCTTAAGTTTACAACCTACTTCATCTGGCAGTATTAAAATAGTATTTTACCAATTGAAGAGGCAAGAACGAAGCCTAGGCCTATTCCAAGTGGTCCTCCCATGTTCAGAAATTTTTCACTTGGAGCACACATGGCCACAGTTGAGAGCCCTCCGACGATGCCAGCAGTATACCAGGCAGCTCTGATCAGCAAAGGGCCACCCAAGAAGGTTAGAGGAGCCACCACCGCACCCATGACACCTAGTTAAAAGACAACAAAACACCACTCAGCAGATTTGAACCAGCTCTGGTAAAAATACCACCTGCCAAAACAATTTTCTTTTTTTCCAGTCAGAAAATACGGCTCAAACTAATCTACTTACACAACAAAATACCAACAGACTTGACTGTACAGCATCTAGAAGTGATCTTAATAAACTGGCAACCTTAAATTCCATGACCTACTTTTATCTTGCTCTGGAGAGTACTTCAGGGAGCTGGGCTTTGGAAGAAAGACTAACAAAAGTCAACATACTGATCTGTTCAAAACACAGCTGGTGAGAGATACTTACCATGGACTAATCAACTACATAATAGCCATAGGAGCACTCTGCACTGAAAAGCGGGACAGATTTCTGCTACAATCATTAGCTAGACAAGCAAGTCAGGCTTTTTACTAGTCTTCTAGGAAATCTCTACCTAGTCCATTAATACCACATTAGGTTGTTTAAGCTACTATGAATCTCTAAATGAAATACTATTTCTTCTTGGTAGGAATCTTGACTCAAGAGACAAATACGATTCCGGTGCCTACCATGTGCAGGCCTCTCCTGAACCACCAATTATCTCTGGCGTAACAGTTTTGAAAAATGGCAGCCATGGTCACTTGAAGTAGGTGAGATTAGCAAGAAACTGACCTGTACTCAAAGCTTAAATACATGATGGGAACATGCATCTAGGAAGCTGCAGTTTAATACTAAAATCTCATTTTTCTAGTCAAGTTTCCAGGTATGTTCCTGTCCTGTACAGCTAAAGAATGCTAAGTGTAGGCAATGCTGCTTACAGAAGCTATGAAATGCCAGAAAACAGTCACAAAACCAACGCAGCTCATGAAACCAATTAATGCTACCCAATATGGCATATATATACTTCAAGTTTAACTTGAGAATGACTTTTAGATGATGAAAACTATTAAGAGTTGTGTTATAGACATTTAAGAAATCCTCCTGACGGTGTCTGAAAAATCTCAATTGCTACAGAAGTGTATAAAAATTTACCTTTACTCTAAAGCACAGACATCTCTAGAATGAACGCGAGAATCACATACCAGAATGCAACATCCAAGCCAAGTGTTTTGCTGCTGGACTGTCTTCATAGGATATGGACCTGACCAGCATTCCAGCACCAATCATGGCTGCAAAAGTTGCACCTATTGCCTGTAGAATCAGCATTACAGAGCTCAAGTTAACAATAGGACGTATAATCTTTGCTCTAACCCCCTAGTCTAAAAATCAGCAGTGTAATTCTGAAAACAGCAATCTAATTTGTAACTGAAGCATTTGTTATTTTTACTCCTACAAGGTTACAGTCAAATCTTTGCAGATCCTAACTTGCAGTAATTCCCATTTTACTTTTCTTCAGTCTTCTAGGAAACCAAGATTAGCAGTAAGATGCCAACAATCTCTTATTTGTGTAAGGTAAGAGAAACGACACACATGGTTCTGCCCCTTACGCTGATCTTCATTAAGGTACCTGAAATGTTAGCCTCACGTTTTCTTGTAAATTTCTCTACCCAAGGCAAACACTCAGTTCACAGAGCTTTACTACTTATGATTTTCAAACATCATTACCTCCTCTTACTGAGGATCAGCTACATGTGTTACTTTGATTTATGACTAAGGACACATTATTAAACTAATCTCTGTAAAACTATGTAGGTGTTAGTATTTAACTATTATTGCTCCACTCAAACTCACAGAATACACAGTAAGCAGAGATTTTTTTAGCAGTTTGCCTGGATGATTTGCCTACAGTATTGTTTCAGCCTTGGCAAACAGAATACAGCTTTCAAAAAACTATACAGAAGAGCACGGGGAGGATTAAGAATGCAGAGACTTCAGTTTCCAGTTTCAGAAAATGATAGCAGCAGTGTCGTTAAGTCTCAGAGGATTGTTTGTAATATGTTCTGGCATATAGCAAGTAAAGATAGCATAGAGGTTTTTTTGCTCATGCAGTCTGTCTTTGACAAAGAAACACAGAAGGTACAAGCCATCATGTAGTTAGACTCACCAAAAATTAAATCACAAAATATCACTAGGATACTGGAGTGGTTTTTACAGATAAGCATGCCGCTGTAAGTTAAGTTTTGCCTTTTCACCAAGTAGTTTATATTTCACATTTCTTGTATCAACCATCACATTGGTGCTCTTTTCTCTGTAAACATTTTTATATTTGTAACATAAACTTACCAGCCAGGAGCCTCTTGTCATAAGGCTCATGAGTGCTGGGGTCCTACTGACTGCCACAGCAGACAGTGCTGTCAGGCCAATGCTTCCCGCAAAGTACATGTAAGTGGAGTGAATCCTGTCTTTCACGTACTGTGGCCAAATACTGAAAAACCAGCAAACATACATAGTTGTGCAATTACCAGTACAAGAATGAGGACCAACTGAAAACACAACTGAGCTGTTAAATATATTCATAGCTATGTATATAGGGGAGGTTTCATAGTAATGGTGTGGTTTAGCAACTTCTACCACATAACAGGGCGCTGAACATTTAAATCTTGAAACTCTCTAGAAACACTGTGAAGTACAAATAACACTAACTACATTTCAATTCTAAGGAGAAAGCATACAGGCAAAAGAGAGTAACAAACTTTTTTAACCATGGAAAAATAGGGAATGGTGTACATATAATAGAGATTTAAGAAAAAATGTCTACAGAATGTGTGCTGTGCACAAAGTAGCCTGCTGACTGGCTCACAAATTGCTGAGTCACAGTGCACATGATTATCTAACATCACAAGCCATGAAAGTAATTCTGAGAGCTCTAACAATAGCAACAGACCTAAATGGGAATGACAGTCTCTGCAGTATGATTTGGTCATAGTATGGACAGGAAGCTTTCCCCACTAACACCAAACTTTGACAGAGTACACACATTTACTTCCATTTTACTCTTTTGACCAACTACTTCAAGGCTGATGAAGAAAAAAACTCCTGATAGGTCTACCAGTGTAAAGCTTCTCAGAGACAGCACAAACATTTATTATGAATGCAGATGGTCATTTTCAAATATAAATGTAAGGAAGTCTCCAGGACTCACTTCTCCAAAGCCCTTACTCATCACTAGCACATTTTAAGTCTAGGTAACTACATGGTTTTGCCATCACAGTCAGGTTTCTATTAGGAAAAAAGCAATACACCAAAGTTTTAAGTAAAACTGATTTATTAGAGTAGGGCTTACGCCAAGAGAAGTTCTGTGTTCAAACGAGACTTTCCAACAAGCTGTATTGAAGTTTAATGACCAGTCTCACAGGAACACTGGGCAAAGTCATCTTGAAAATATGCTTTACAGAAGACTACCCTGCATATATTACCTGTGGCACATCTCTTAAGACAGTTATTTACTCCTCAAAACAAAACTTAGCAAAGCAACAGAACTCACTTAAGTAAATGTCTATTTAAGCTTTAGTAATTTAAATCTTGCTAAGTTACATGCTTTTAAAATTCATAATTGTATGTAGAAATGTGTATGTAGAAAGAATGTAGTGTATGTAGAAAGAAGCAATGACTTCCTGTCATTAAAAAGCTGTGTGTACAGTAGGTGATACCTGCTGAAATCCTGATGGATATAAAGAGGAGTGAGATTGGCTTAATGTACACTTCACCTGAAACAGTAAGCCATCTTACTTACGCAGCTTTTTCGATAGCTCCAATCTCACTAGACATGCCCATTCCATAGTAACAGAGGGCCCCCAGGCCAACAGCAGCCCCTCCAGCAACAATAAACTTCCCCAGGCGATCAGCTGCATAAAGAAAAACCACAGTCTTAGAAATGCTTTCTCTTGGATAGTTAATAACATCCTTGCGTGAGTTTGTACCCGCAATGCCTGATCCATGTTAAGCTTACTTCTTAAAGCTCCACTCAGAAAAGAAGTGACTTAACTCCAAGTAACTGCATTCCTAGTTCTCAATGACCTATATGTGAAAAACTCCGCATTCAGCCTGCCAACGCAATACAGCTTCATAAAACAAAGAAAGAAGTAAGAGACCAGCTAGTAACTTGCAAGACTTGCTGACCTTCATACAGTGGCAGGCATGCCAATACAAAATCAGTCAACAGGCTGTCCCCCCCTGAGGCACTCACCTGTTAGCATGCTGGTTTAACTCAACTGTCTACAGGACAGAAGAAAAAATACACATTGTGTCCTCTCCTCTCTAATTTTTACACCTACCACTTGTGTGGCACATATCAGACTACAGCTACAAATACAATTACCAATCATAAAATAATGTTATAAATGAAGACCAGCTGAAATCAAATACCTTCATTTGTGTAACTCTGAGACTACACATCCTCCTAATGTGTAATAACCAAGGTGCTACCTATATTCCATTTGTCAACACAGTGCTACTGTAGGACATATACAAGTCTTTTCTACTGAATGCTGATATCTAAAAACATCTCCTTATCATCCACTGAAATTATGATCCACACTAGATATACTCTAGCAAGCAGAGCAAGCCAATGCATTTTGTAACTGTAGCACCAGAAACTTTTATTTTCCAAACTGTACATACTGTAAAAAAATTCTTCCTTTAAATAGCACACAAAGTAGATGCAGCAGTGTTAGCATAATTTTTAAATAAGAAACCAAGTCTCCAATAAGAGAGAACAATTTTTGACTTAACTTCTCAATAGCAGCTTAAAGTAGAAATAACAAGAAATTTCTCCATACTGTGACACTTGCAGTTTTAAACTCTACAAGGACAGATCAGCAGAGAAACTGCCTCCAGTTATCTGAGGGAGATCACTGAACAAACTTACATATGAAACAATATTCTCAGTCTCTTTAATGGTTGGAAGGAAACTAATTCCTTCAGGGAAGTCCGAAGTTTAGCTTCAAATATTCTCAGTATTTAAAGCAGAGCTACTCTACCTTTAAGTGCTGTTTCTGCAGATGGCTCAAATGCTGCTTCTTTAATTTCCTGGCCAATTTTTCCACGCCTCACACCCGTTCTTACTCTGGTGGCATAACACTGTTAGAGGCAGAAAAGAGATCAGAAAGATTCAATGAAACAGAAGACATTGCTCATCAATTTACTTGCTACACTTAAAACTGATAGAAAGCATCTTATTTATCTCCCAAAGTCCTGAAGCAGCAGCCCTTAAAACAAACAACCCAATGCAGAAGTTTGGAAAGCTCTGTGAATAACATTAACACATTCTAGAAGTACAGAACCAATGCAGTGAATTTCATAAGGTGAAATTTTCTGTTTGCATTTCTCCTACTCTAGTCCCACTCTACTAAACAAGGTCACAAGACTTTTTTTTTTTTTCTAATGTAAAAACACACTCCATTTTTTGGTTTATTTTGTAAGGAAAGCTTCCTATGTAAAAACACTCTATGTAAACTTTTATATAAAAAAATTACTGCAAAATATTTATACTTCACAATCACTACATTTGGAAAAGCAACATGAATATTTGCTTTCAACTCTAGCCTTGATTTAGAGAACAAACCTTGAATGAAAACTGATAAACTAGATTTATAAGGCTGGCAAGCTCCAAAAATTATATCATGCTGCTCAAAGACTTAGTAAGTTGCAAAAGCAACACAAAATAAATTCACATTTAAGTTCATAAACAACTTCTGAAGTTTCCTGACTGTTGTTTCCAGAATTTCTAAATTATTACACAAGTACCTGTGCAACCAAGGACTCATTTAAAACTAAGTTTGTTTTAACATAGAAACCTGTAATCTACAAGCATTGCTATTATTAGTCATTATATCAAGAAAAATCAGGAAGTTTACCATAGAGCCTCAGTTTTGTTGTATTTGCATCTAACAAAATCTAGCCCAATGTTGTAATTTATGTAGCATTCACCACAGCAACAAAATAATAACAAAAAAACAACATGAAAACATGCACACACCAAAAACCACCCCCAGTTTTTAAAATTACTGGCAAGACCCATGATAGTCCTGACATGGTTCACAAATTGCTCTTACCTGGAACACAGTTCTAAAAACACACTGGAACTGAAATCTTTGAAAAGAAAAATTTTACTTGAATAGCGTATGTAAGATTCCTACTTGGAATTTCTACTCCTCCTACCTTACACAGTAAGCCTTGAACATTACTATCTCCTGTAAGTCCTTTTTCCCAGCAATTTCAATGGGGAAATAATCATTGAAATAGAAAATACTATTTTAGTTGCTGTTAAAAAAACTGCTTTTTGATTAACACACTTCCTTCAGTACATTAGAGCAGGTACCTCAAACAAACACAAGGCTCGTGATCACTCAAAACCAGTAATCCATGCAAAGCAACTCTTTTGGCAAAACCCTCAACCCATTAAAATATCAGCAGTCAGAACCGTCAGAAAGATAATTACCTTACCTGGTTAGGCTGCCACAGCCTGTATGCTTTTATATTGGAGTTCCTCAAAGCTGGGGAAGCCTGAGCAAGGGTGGGGTGGATGGTCTGGCATGATAATGCCCTCAGGCATACCAGCCTTGCAGCCAGCATAGTTGCTTAGATAGTTTAATACACTGCGTTCCTGAAAATACATGAGAAAATATGCTTTACTAATTGGTTCTGTGGTTTTCAGATAAGGTATGCTTACTACTTATCATCAACTGCACTGCAGGCTGTAAAGTGCTATTCTCACTAGAATACTGCAGTAAGATCCAGAGCCTTCCTCAACACGCAGCTTAATTCCATCCATTTTTGCCTCCCATTTCCATCAGAGACTTCTCTCTCACAACTTACCCAAAACCAATCACATCAAGACACTTTATATCCTTACATTGGAGCTACTTTAATAACTAGCTTTAATTTTGAGACATAGCTCTGCTCTCCAAATAGACACTCAGCAAGATGCTTCAAGCTTACATACATTTCAGCTAAGTATAAACCCAAATGAGTAAAAAGCATAACGGATGTGGTGGAAAGAGTTTTAGAGAGACTTTAAGCTACGCTTTGAAGAACTCAGTTAGCTTTGGAGATCCAGTGGTCAGTTCAGGTCACAGCCCAGAACTCAAGTTCAGGTCATCCCATGCAGTTCTGAGCACAAAAAAGCAATATAAACTAACACCATAAACAGCCACCAGCCTGCATATTTTATTGCTAGTATTAAAACTTCCAGCTTGCTTCCACAAATACTGCATGCGTTACATATTAAAAGAACCCCAAGTCATTATAGTTACATATACTTTGATTATGACTATATACAATCTCTGATACCACAAGACACCTCAACTACCAATACATTTTTTTTCAAATAATTGACTATAACTTACACATATGGCATCCAATATAATTTAGGAGCATTCTAAATAAAAGTTAACTTTAAACATGCACAAAAAAACCCGAGCACCCAAAGCACTGGACATCTAGTATAGACTACAAAGACGTGAAAGTAAGAAAATCATCCTGCTGCTAGAAAAAGTCACTTTGCTTTGAAGCTCAGTCAGAAAATCCTGTTTTCAGGAGTGGAAGTACTTCCAGGGACGTCCTGTTTTCTCCACAAAACCCCGCTCAAATCTTCCACTCGGGTGATACTGTTCACAAGGGCTTACAGAGACAACTCTAGTATTTTATTTTTTCTCAAGCCGATTTTGAAGAAAGACAACTTCAAGCATTAGCTCAGTAAGGAGGAACGAAGAAAAAGTGTTAAAAGATGAGCAAAACAGCATCAACGTTCCAGCATAGTAACTGGCAAAAAGCCAGAGGCCTAAGGCAACACTGCAAAGTCACAACTACACCGAAGGGTGCCGATACCCCTGCAGCCCAGGAGGGCGGAAAGGGCCCACCTCAGACCCGGGCCGGGCCGCAGGCCCTTCCCCGCTTTCGGCCC